AAAGAAACGTGAAACATCCTCGCAGACCAGAAAGAAGTCTAGCCGCCTTCAACACAAGCACTGAAGACTGAGGACCTGCAAACACAAATCTGCCCGTTTAAATTCATAGAGATCTGAAGATTGAATAGCTCAAGCTAAGAGTAGTTTCACATGGGAATGGGAATAGTTGTTCTCATTTAACAATATTCTTGTCAAGTCTAGTTTGAAAAATAAAAACTGTCCACTGTGATGTGTGTATCTAGTGAATTAACCTTACTGAACCTGCTTATCCAGTCCTAACTAGTTTTAGTTTGAGAGGTTTATCAAATATTATACCTTAAAGTGTTTTTTATGCTTCACAGCAGAATTTAGGGCTACGTAATCATTGTTTTGAACGGCAGATGGTAAGGTCTTATTATTTTTCACTTTACAGTCTGCAGTCAGCATGGCAGTGCAGTGTTTAGGAGGTCGCCTGACAGACATCCAAAGCTGCTTGTTGACTGTGGCTGTCTTTGTGTCGATATTTCATGTTCTTCTGCTGCCTCCATCAGTTTTCTCAGAGCATGTTCATTCTTTATTCTGAAGTTGTCGTGACTGTGAGTGCGTATGTTTCTGTGTCCCTGTGCATTTGTTAACTCTATTATAGACTGACCACGTACCCAGAATTTACCCGACCTCTCTCTTAATGGCTTGAGCCCCCTCACATTGGGTAAGTGGTTAACAAAGTGGATGGATGGATGATTCTGTCACTGCAAACTGTCTCTGTGAGACATTTGAGTAGAATGTATTAGTAACACTTACACAATTACTGTATTTAAAATAGCAGCTACAGCTGAGGAATAACAAATGGCATGGCACCACATCCGTAATGAGTTGATTGATTAAAATAAGAGTCGTAAAGAAAGGAGGAGTCTGGTTTTCATATTTCAGATTTATTGGTTTGATGCATTAGTTGGGATTGGACGACACAGACTGAATTTTAAAAGAAATAGCCGACCTCTGCGGAGTAAATGGAGTAATATAATTTGATGATCATTTCAAGAACATAAACTCGGGCTGAGACATATTGGCTTGTAAGTTTCAGGCGTTTCTAAGAGTCTCGTCATTTGATTTACAGATCTGTGATGAGTCTGCAGTCCTTACAAACGACTCATTGTTTTAATATATGACCTCTACCAGGCTGAAATCACTGGACATGCTCAAAATCACTGAGCACTTATTGTAATTGATCATTTCCACAAACCTCCCATATTTTTTGCTATCCAACTTATAGATAAAAAAAAAACACACTTTTTTTATATGAATGCTATGAACCCGATTGCTTGCTTTCACTGTTAAGTTTTCCACTTTATTCAACATAACCAGTAAAAATACACAGAATATTTAGATGGTATTAATGAGCCATAGCCCCACATCTTACTGCATCATTAGATTTTATTAAAATATAAACTAAACACTTGTAATATTATTAAAATTGACCCTGTGGTTATTGATCTTCTTTGTGTTTTTCTACCACACACCACCGCTGTCGTCCAGTCTTATTTACTGCCCTATTTTTTGTGATCATTTCATTTATACATGAATATTTGGAAAAATGCACAGACATTGAAATAGATATCCAGATAGCTGAGGCAGACAGTGCACACAAGACTCCAAGGTGCTTGGCACAACCATGGACAGAAGATGCACTGCATGGTTAGATCAAGCACAATGGAGTCATGAGCAACGACAAAAAAAAAGTCCAACAGATATTGCACAGATGCAACTCTGCACAAATTGACCAAGCAACGTGCCGTATCGACCAGGTTTTTGTGCAAATGTTAAGTAGCAGGTTTTATTTTTTTCCTGAAAAAAGACACAGCATTGTTAGAATATTTTATGGGTTTTGCTGAAGGACGGTCCTGCAGTCGGAGCTGTCGGCAATGCAAAATTTCAGAAAAATCCAAAAAGTGTGAGAGAAGTGATCTGATCTCATGGGGATGTTTAAAAAAAGAAAGAAAGAAAGAAAGAAAAGAAATGCTACTGGTTGGTCTACGATCAAAAAAAGATGAAGAGACTTGTAGCTAGGAAGAGCTGCAGAATTAAAAAAAGCGAAAGATTACTCACAGGTCATGGTCACTGCGGGAAAAAAGGGCTACACCCTTCCTGCGCACGAACTGCGTCAAACCCCACCCTCTCGCCCTTCACGCCCAACTCTAACAGAGGAAAAAAGTCACCATTTGATCACTTTTCACTCTTTTAAAACTCAAATCTCAAACATTTTTAAGAAAGGACCTGCAGCAGGCCTGAAAAATGTTGGCTTGATTAAATTTGTTTCCTCATTGGGCATTCCCAAAGTGATCAATGGAAACAGAGTTTGGGTAATTCATCTGTGATCTTGTTAGAGTCGCAAGATCTCATAGAGTCCAAGTCCCTGAAATTTTAGTAGTTATTGACTAAAAACAAACCATGCTCCCTGGACACTATTGAATTAAGAATTAGAGGTATAGCTACTTCTCTGTAGTCCATCTGGGGTGCATCTGCCATCTACTAAGAGCAAAGAAAAACCACTCCTAACATTTTAGTCTTAACTATGTTAAGTGTTCCTGTGTTGTGATACCATCAGGCTAAGAGAGCTTCTTTTCCAAAAGGTTTGACAATCTTGTTACGTTCCCTTGTGTCTCTTTCTAGCTCCCTGAGGACATTTTACTACAATGAAAAGGCACGGCACAATAATCAACTTACAGGGCTCAGCAAGTGAAACCACTTTGTGTGATGAAATTACACCATAATGCATATTAATGCACCAAACAGGAAAAAAGCTGCCTTTGGAAGTGACCAAATGGCACGAAAATTGGAGTACTTTGGGTGAAGATGATGGGCGGCGGTGATGAAACAGACTTTTGTTTTTCAGAACAATGAGGATGTTTGAAAGGGATGCAGCGCAGCTGATGGGATGGTTTAATGGGTTTTATGCACAGATGATGATTGTGATACATGATTACGCTTACTTACCTTCTATTTTCCTGTCTTCTTCTGGAAACCAACATGGCTTAAAATACTAAGAGAAGTATTTGAAAAAAGTGCTTTCTGAGCTAAAGCAACAAAACCTAAAGCAACTGTTCTTCAAACCTGACCAGCACAATATCACTGAAAACAGTTGGTCTCAACCTACTCTGTGTTTAACAGACAACTTTCCAGCTGCTTTCATTGGAAAGTCTCCTCTACACATTGTCTTTCCAAGAAACTCACCTTTCCATTCGCTAGCCTCAAAGCGAGCGTAAGGCGCAGGTGGTTGAGGGGTGGTGAAGACCGCTGGGTGCTCTGAGCTGTGTCTTGGGGTCTTCTAGCTTGCTCTACTGGAGCCAGACTGTCCTGACTGCGTCCTCAGCACCCTTCAAGTCCCCAACTCCTGCCCCTCCTTCAAGCTAGGAGGGGTTGGTGATGTTCTCTTGGGATAGGTGCACTGGCAAGGAGGACTTGGTCAGGCTGGGATTGGATGTAGGTTGGGGAGTCTGAATGGGGGGGCGCCGGTTCCGCATTTCATAAATATTAATACAGAGTCCTCTCTCTCCAAATGGGTAGATTCTTTAATTTTGTTAGAGGGGGAAGTGCTTTATTCACTTAATGGCTTTTATTAGTGCCCAGTGTTCAACTCTTTCATTAGCTAAAGTGCTGCTATAATTTACAGGGTAAAAGGGGGTGGGGAAGAGGCGGTGTCTGGGAAGGGTTGATCCTGCTGCTGCTGCTTCTGCTGGACAGGCAGGCTTCACCTTCAACCACTGCAGCTTTTACTAAAAAGTGGCTTTTGGGCTAAAAGAACTGGAGTCAAAAGATATCAAATACACTCCATGAACCGTTATACTGTCGGTCATGCTGTCTCACTTTCACATCTGTTTTTTTTCTAAACACATCTGTGCAAATCTAAAGTGTTAAGGATGATCCCGAATTAGACACTGTAACCAATTTATTTTAGAAAAAAGCACAATGTTGATGACACTTCTAACAAATAAGTGGCTTTTTACCTATGAGCAGAGAAAGATTTTGTGGAAACATGCAGTGGATTTCTCTCGCTGGCAAACTGGAATCATTTTTCTTTGCGGTTCCATATCATATTAATTTAGTAAATGAAGATAAAAGCATGCATTTTTTTGCAATACTATATCCAATATATGATAAAATGCCTGCATTTGATGTATACATATTAAATATACTGTAAGGGTCTCCTATTTAGCTTGGCAACATCTTTGCATGGGTTTTGCGCACACGCTTGATAATTAAAAAACAAAACATGAGTGTCTTTCATGTTTGGACTGCTTGATTTCACTCTTCAAATTTCTAATCTAGCCATATTATACTACAGTTTACATGCTTGGTGTCATCCATCGCATTCATTCATTAGCTTCTGGTACTCGCACTGCGAGTGGTCTTGTTGCAACATACGGACATTAAATAACACCAACTTCCAAGAGTGCACCCAGTGCCAATAAAAAGCAGCTTTATTTTGCTCTGTGGAGTTTGGCTACTTGTGAACATCCCAACAACCCTCAGACTGCATCTGAGTGAATGAACTTATTAACCTGAGTGGCCGTCCCCACCAGAGAGCAGGGGAGTGGGTGGGCCACCAGTTTGAATAACTATCCCCATCATCAATGTCATATAAATCTCTTTCCCCCCCCTCCCCCCTCTGAGCCACAGTTAAATGTTAGCCATAATGCTGGCTGCGGGTACGCATCTGCAACATTTCTGTCGGATTTTTCCTAAAAAACCAAATTTAGCACAACACAGAACACTCCTGGTTACACTTTTTGATAAAGTAATAAATCTATTATCTGAATAAAAGCACAGAATAATAAAAAGCATAAAATAACAGACACATTGAGATTCCACTGTGATTTTATTGTACAGTTCTTTTAGGAGTCAATGGAAGCCTTAACCAATATTCAATATGAACTATTCATGGTGTTAAGTACTGTGTGTTACTTTAAATATGACACTTTAACCTGCCATTGTTTTAAATCAATGAAAGCAAAAACAACAGATGCTGTAATGACAGACATGTCCGGTAGTTTATTGAGCAGCTGTACAGAACACTTTGTGATAACATGGGTCATGCAGTGAGCATTAAGAATCCTTTTTTTTTTTTTTTTTTACTTTTTCACCAGCTGGATAACATCTTCATCCTCCATCACATGGTCCTTGCCCACCTTTTGAGGGTTGTGCTTTACAGAGGAGCCCCAAACAAGTGCACTGAAAGAAAGAGTTAAGAAAAAAAAAAAAGGAGTTTGATCCTGGTTGACTGATGATTCGTTCAAGAGTGTGAAAAGAAAAGATATCAGGCCATTATAAAGTAGCCCTACAAATCATTCTTTGCTACAGCTCTATTATAAAGGAACCTACTGGGTATGTGACATCCTTAAGGAGCAAAAGCTTCCATGTGTCACAGTTTTACCCGTCCGTTCCCTTGAGGATGGCTAATGCTCAGCAGCACTAACATAATGAATGATTGACGATGTTATCTTGCCAGGGCCATTTAGAGATGGTGGTGCAACACGCGGTCACATGTCTAAAAATCAAACGTTCCAGTGATGGCAACATTTAGTCTGGTAAATGTTGCCATTAAGGGAGGTGATAGAGTCATGAGAAAAAGAATGTCCACCCAGTTTTGGTTTTAAGGTTTTGACGCATAAAAACACATTAAGAATAATCTGATCAACACCACACTCTAAAATCACTTACATACAACCTCAGATGACAAAAATATTTTTAAAATATTAGCATTTTAGCTAAGGCAACTATACTCACTACTTAAATTCTTTGATGAGGTTTTTGTGAATCTTCATGCAGAAATCCTCCACTGAAGTTCGGTCATTGGGGAGCACAACAGGAGACGTGTAATCAGGAAGCTGGCCTTTGGGTTTGGTGTAGCTGTAAGTAAACGTATCATCTCAGTAACCTTTTCCAGTTTGAACACAGAAACACTTCAATTTTCCAAAGACTTGCTTTAAATCTATAACTGACTTTCGCCACATTCACAGCATCTTTTGCAGGTTGTATTGATGGAAATTCTTACATGCGCACAAGCCTTAAGTAGTCCCACATCCTCTCCAGCAGGTCATCAAAGTTCCAGCGGTGGTGGGCTGAGATGGGCACAGTGTGGGGCACTTTGTAGATGATGTCGAGCTCTTCAATGGAGATCTGGTCGATTTTGTTGAGCACATAAATGCATGGGATGTAGACGCTGTTGGGACAGGGACAGAGTCTGTAAGTGAAACCACTACATACTCAGTTATACTAAATAATCCAAGAAATAAAATGGTGAATAAATGAGTCTATATTTTGGTGCAGCATGAAGCCTTCTACTACATTTACTTATTAACTAACATGTCAGCTGATACGCAAATGTTAGATATTACAACTAATGCCATTTGCCTAGCACAGGGTGCACGCGGTCTCAAACAGAAGATTTACAAATCAATTACTTTTGGCAGAATAACTCCTAATGAATATCATTATAAATTCATAGAGCTTGCAGGAAAAGTAAGATCAGGCGACCTTGAACTATCCCTCGGTGTTGCTGCTGTTGGCTCAGAATAATGCACGACCTCCCATAATGCATTTGCCTCTTTCACTCCTCTTGCACTTACATGCGACTAGAGTAAGTCCTTTTTTTGCACTCTGTCACAGTTTGTGCTTTGCCATCTCTGTGCTTTTCCCTTTCCCCTCACAGCAGATGGCTGCTCCACCCTGAGCCGCGTTCTGCCAGAAGCCTCTTCCTGTTGAAAATGAGTTTTTCTTCCCACTGATGCCAAGTTTGTGTTCATAAGGAAATCGCTGAATCACTGGGGTTCGTCTATAATGTTGTCTTTAGCTTAAAATATTAAGTGTCTTGAGACCATTGTGATGATTTGGTGCTACATAAATAAAACTGAACTGCATTGTCAACTATACACTTTAGTATACTGAGTCACTGACATGCTCTACTGTTTCTACTACATTTAGTAAGACATTTAATTCCTTTATTCTGCTTGTTGATTTTGAGATATTTTGTTTTTCATATAAAGCTTAATATTTTTATTTAAATGTAAACTTATCTTAATTTATTGTATTTATTTTTTAACTTCAAATTACTTTCTGCCTTATTTCCTTTGACATATCTTATTTTATCGATCTATATACTGTTTAAGCACTACTGCCTGATGTGGAGTTTACACGCCTGGGTTCTCGCTGTACTTCCTTCCAGTCCAAAGACATGCAGTTAGTGGGTTTAAGTTAATTGGTGATTGCAAATTGGCTGTCTGTGTCGGTGTGAATCGTTGTCTGTTTCTCTGTGTTAGTCCTGCCACAGACTGGTGTTTTATCCAGGGTGTACCCCACATCTCTATGGTAGCTGTGATAGCCTCGAACCCTCTGCTACCCTGAATCGGATAAATGGAAGAGAATGGCTGGATGGATGGAATAAATAATGTATATTTCATTCAATTGTATAACAGGTGGTTACAGTTTCCACTGTGTCCATTTTCCTCCCAAAGTTCAGTAATTTTTTGAAGGAAAAAGTGTTTACTTTTCACAGGAACATTTGACTTTATTTTTTTATATGTATATTAAGTCATTTTAATCATGTTTAAAATATGTAGTGCTACATTTCCTTTTGTTAAGATACCTCTCTTCAAATAAATACTGTAAGTATACAGGCAAGGAGGGGGCCCCGCCTAATGCTTTATGCAATTACAGTTAATAGGCCCATAGGCTTCTGAATTATGAGAATTTTTAAAAATATTTTGCCCTTATGAAACATCACAGTGGATTTTAACTCAATTAAATGTGAATGAAAGCCAGAATTTCATCATTAATTCAAGGGATTTTCCCAAAAAACCCTTCTCTGCTCAGGTTCAGCCAAATGCTGCAAAACTGATCAGACAGAGCTTTGCAGTGCAAATGGATGATGACCCGAAGCATACTGCAAAAGCAATGACGAGTTTCTCAAGGGAAAGAAATGAGACATTCTTCAGTGGCTAAGTCACCTGATCTCAAATCAGTAGAGCAGCTTTTCAGTTATTAAATACAAAAGTGAGGGCAGAGAGACCCACAAACAAGCAGCAGCTGAAGGCAGCTGTGGTAAAAGCCTAGTGGAGCATCTCATGGGAGGAAACAACATCTTGTGATGTCCAAGGGTGACTTCAAGCACTCACTGCAAGAATTACAAAAAAAAAAAAAAAAAAAAGAGTCCTTGTATTTAAAATTATGCTTGTCCAATTACTTTTCAGGATTGTTTAGGATTTACAGCATTAAGAAATGCTGTAAATCCTAAACATGTAATGCATTTTTTGGCCAAATCCCTTACAATAAAGCTGACAATAAGTCCGGACTTCAGACTTTGATTGGCCAGTCTTAAGATCCACAATGGGGGTGTACAGGATTTAGACATTATTTAAAAAATATTCTATAGACATAGTGTTTGATAAATTTGTTTCCTTGCAGAAATTGTAGTTTTTATTTTATTGTATTGTGGTCTTTCTCCTAGTTGCTTTTTTCAGAGGAGGGACCATGCTCAACCCCACATATCTCTGATCCCATATTTGTTGACTTCTTATATTAAGATAAAAACCTTTGAGTCATCTAAGTAAGATTAAAACAGGAGTTCTCCCAGATGCTGCCTAGCACATAAACAGCATATTTAAATCCATCTGTAGTGGGAATGATGGGAGTGTTAAATGGGATTTCAGACCGGCAGGCCACACCCACTGAGAATGACTAAGAAAGGCCCATTGTGACACTTCAGCAGCTCACCGATTTCCCTCCACCACATCGATGAGGTCATCAGCTGTGGAGTCACTGCGCAGAGTGATGTCGGCGTTGTGGATCTTGTACTCTGCCAAGATACTCTTAACTGTTTCAGCGTCAAGCTCACTCTGTGCACACTGGAGAGAGAAAGAGAGAGTGCATGTGGATGGATGACTTAAAGTAACACAAAAAAGCAAGAAAATAGTCATTAAAAAAGTCACAATTTAAAGATCTGTATTAATCAATTATTACATATTAGAGTCAGCAACACAATAAAAATCCATATGTTCTAATCCATGTGGCATCACTACCCATTTCTGCATCTAAATGCTCTGCTGAATTAATAAAAGTGGCTGCTCTCCAAGGTGTTACAATAAACTGCAAAATATGAAAAGCATTCAGCTCTGGACATAAACGAAAAAGGGAAAATTAAATACCACCCATGTTTGTTTGATTAGAGAAAATAGGATAGCTGACATTCTGCTACCTCATGATGAGCTACAGAACTACTGTTAGGCTAACATTAGCGCAGGTAAGCTGTAGCAAGAGGGTTAAACTGTTCTCGAAAGTACAGATAGACACAAATGCCGGACAGGAGGATAAACACCAATAAAGGACAAAACATCAAAATGTCTGGGACTGTGAGATTTTAAAAACTTAGCTTGGAGAACACATTACACTTGAATGTAGAGGCTTTAACTTTAATGACAAGTAAATGATGTTTTAAGTATCAGTGTAATTGTTCACTTCAGTTATTAATTCTAAAGTGAAAACTGTAAGTGCGAAGTTTCATTTAGTGTGTTTATTATATGAGACGTACCGTAGCGGTAAAGTTGATGCCTCCTTTGTCCTTTTTCTTGAAACCAATGTTTGGTGGTTGCTTGTTAAGCCGAATGCCGAAGCCTTCCAGCTCATGTTCTATTAGCTTCTTATGAAGAAGAGGCTTCAACACATCGAGCACTATCAGAATCAGATTGCAGGTTCGAGCCACTGTGAGAGAGTGGAAAAAGAAACAATAACATCAGTCAGAAATGTGTAAAAAGAAATCCCAGTTGAAGTCAAATCTGTCAAATGTTTTAGTACGACTTTGCTAAGCTACAAACCCACAGCGCTTGATGGATTGTCGGAGCATTACGGCTATTGTAGGCAGGCGCCTCGCTGAGTGATACGTACTGTGCTTCAGCATATTATTACGGTATTGTGTGTGTATAACCTCTTAAGTTTAGTGGATATTATACATGGTTATGCTGAGGATATGTCGGCCAATTTCCACTGGAAATACCTTTTGGTTTAACTGTCAGCAAGGAATTTGCATTTGCACTGTTAAATTTTTATATAACTTTAATGCACATAAAAAACAGCTGCTTGTTTAAGTGAAAATACATTGATGGTTTTTTTTGCACTAATAAAGTTGTGGAGTTGTAAAGTATTTTGTCTAGTGTCAATTATATCGTCAGTTATATCGTTATCGCAAATTTTCAAATGTATATCGTGATAAATATTTTTGGTCATATTGCCCTGCTCTAACTGCCATTGTATTTCCCTCCAAGCAGATTCCACTGTAATCAAATCATTACCTGCGATGACCTGTCGGCCTCTGCCCTTTCCATCTTTGGCGCCCTCAATGATTCCTGGGAGATCCAGGAGCTAAAAAGGACGAAGTCAGAAAAAGAAAAATATAAGCAAATAACTTAAACCTTACCACAGCATGAACAATATTCCAGATTTTGAAGAAAGCAGAAACTCTTGTACCTGAATTTTAGCACCTTTATACCGAATGACTCCAGGTACTGTTGTTAGAGTGGTGAACTCGTAGGCAGCAACCTCAGAGTATACACCTGCAAGGTTACTTAGCAGTGTAGACTTTCCTACAGAAGGAAAGCCGACAAAGCCGACACGAGCGTCACCGGTTTTCGCTACATCAAAACCTAAAAGTTGGAGGAAACACATGAAAAAAAATCAAATATGCATTAGCATTCTTTGCCGGGCAAAAATAAAGAAATATTTAAAACAAAATTTTGGTAACATCATTAGGACACAAGTATCCTGATCTCACCTTCTCCTGTCCCACCACCGCTGCCTCCTTTAGGTGTGATGAGTTCCCTTCTGAGTTTGGCAAGACGTGCTTTGAGCAGACCCAAGTGGTGAGCTGTGGCCTTGTTCTTCTGCGTCCTGGCCATCTACAGTGAACAATAATACCAGTCTGCATGAGAACTTTCTAAAAAACATTAAGTAAGCAGTTTTTACTGACTGCACTCAGGTACAGTCATGGTGAAACTTAAAACAGAATAGACTTATCCTTTACAATTCAAAGTTTAATTTTGCCCATCTGGATTTACTGTAATGTCAGTGCAGTAACAACACAGTAACAACACTATAAACCTGCTCCCATTCTCTCATGTTGTACAGTTTTTACTTTATGCCAACTTAAATGCAAGAGTTTCTTACATTTGACATGCAACTTTAACTCAAACTTACATACTTGAATGATCATAGTTAAGGCAAAGAATTTTTTAACCCTAAATTAACAGATATTCATTCATTTTATTTAATAATCCTAGTTTTTCTGTCCATTTGATAAATAATACAGTTTAAAGCATTTAATGTGGGAGGAAACATTTTTAATAGGCAGAAAAGTCCTGGCCAAGATCAACACAGCTGTGTTTCTCTGCACATTAAAATGTACACCTAGTGCTGGTCTCAAGTTAAAGATAAATGGGTAGGTTGTGACAGGGAGAGCGTCCGGTGTAAAGTCTTTGCCAAATCAAACACGTTAGCTAGAAATGTTACTAGTGACTTACAAGAACTGCTACTGGTACAACTGACCAGCAGGGTGGCTGCTAATGGCCAAAGACTGAGAAAGAATAGTAGGGGAAGGCATGTATGGAGGCAGTAAAATAGAAGGCAAGATTTTAAATGTAGGAATTATGGCTGGTAAAGTGAGAGAGATGGCTAACAAAGGAAAGGATGTTCAAGATGGATCTGCCAGGCAGGGAGATAAGAGGACGACCACAGAGAAGACCGATGAAAGCAATGATCTGCTGTGGCAACCCTTAAAGAAGACAGTGAAACAAGTAGTCTTTGCACTGCAACCTGGAGAGTTTCCTTTTACTGCCTCTGATAATACAGTAAGGTTTCCATTAAAAACTAGAAAAGGCATATTCTGAAGAAACTGCAGCTTGAATGCCGATAGCTGAATGTTTTGAGCTGAAATGAAACAATTGCTGAATGTTAAGCTAAAGTTAAGTTTAAACTAAACTAAAAACTTAAACAAAAACATTCAGTGTAATTTAAAGCAAGTACCCCTGCTGGTACGAACTCTTATGTTCAAATTTGAGGCTTTCTCAATACAACAACAGACGGCACACCATACAAAGATCATAATATATGGATACGTGTGAATTAAAAGACAACACTGTCGTTTTAAGTTAACTTGTATTGAACAGTTAAAGTGTACACATTATGTAAAGGCGAACTTGTTACTTGTTACCACCATCAGCACATCCGTTACACTGTCTTATATGATTAGTAATGGATTCACAAGTTCACTGACTGGGTAAAGCAACTTTATATGCACTTTGTGGCCAAAAGAAAAAATGTGAGTTAGAAATATTAAGAGCAAAACAAAGCCCGGCTGTAATATTTTTGCTAACGCTAACAGCTTGTGGCTAGCTTAAACGTGACTGTCAGCGGGTTAGCCCGCCCGCTGTTTCCATCTTACCTCATTTTCAATTTCTGCTATTTTGGCGAGTATACTCATGGTGACGGTGTTCCCCGTGTAAAATTCACGTTACCGATTGAAACTGAAAAGGTTTTACATGGAAGTTGGCAAAGTTATTGGGGTACTTTAGCATGCACACCATACGAACGCGGTTGTGCGGTGTTTCCAGGGAAATCTCGCGAGAACCCGGACAGAGGCGGGGCATGATACCCGGTGCGTTGACCAATGACAGCCCGCGTTCACTCACAGGTTGCTCACTGAACAAAAAAGAGAAACGCAAACGCAGCATGAGCTTCCATGAGTGCAAATGCTTCATTTGCGAATCAGGAAGGTGGAATTTAGTACAACTAAAATTTCAAATAAAATGTATAAACACAAGTACTGCTATAGTACGGCTATGGATTTGGAAAGGTTGTTCTACTTCACTGGATATCAGAAAAAAAACCGTTTAGTTAACTTGCTTGATAAATCCCAGTTAGCTCTTCGAGGAAAAAAAAAATCTTTACGTCAAAACGTACAACAAAGCTATTAAACACAATATTTTATTAAGAATTAATGAGGCCTGTGTGCCTGTGCAGATGAGCATTGGCTTGTACTTTTCTCAAGTTTCGGATGTTTCTGAGTTGTGAGGAGACATCGTCGCTCTAAATTGATTTAAATAACTGTTTTACGCTGTAAAACATCAGATTTAATCAGTGTCTAGCTGAGAATGTACCACTGTTGTCTTATATCTTCATACAAAAGTTGTACCTAAAATACTGCATGAGTACATTTACTCAGGTTGGATAGTGCGCTTTTATTTATTTTGCTCTTTTATTGAAATAATCCACAAGTTAAATATTAGAAGTGCTTTTCAGTATAAAACAAAACTATTTAACTACACATGAACTAAATTATCGTCTCCTAAATTAGGTTATGAATAAAAAACACCTCTATAGAAGAAAATTTTGATGAAAAAATAAGCTCGTGGGCCACTTCACTGAGTACACCTTAGTGATATGAGGTTAGAATACCCTTTGCCTTTTGAGTAGCCTTAATTCTTCGTGACACAGATTCAACGAAACGCCGGAAACATTCCTCAGAGATTTTGGTCTATGTTGAAATGATCACACAATTGCTGCAGATTTTGCAGCTGCACAACCCTTTATGAGAATCCCCCATTGCCACATCCCAAAGGTGCTCTATTGGATTGAGATCAGACCATTTGAGTACAGTCAACTCATTATCAGTCAGTATGAGATGATCTGGACTTTGTGACATCATGTGTAATCCTCCTGAAAACAGCCATCAGAAGATGGACACACTGTGATCATACTGAAGACCGACCGATATATCGGCACTGCTGATATTATGAGTTATGTTATGAGTGGTAATGTTATCAGTTTTCATGTTGCATAGTTTGTCCACCAGAGGGCACTCTTTAACGTCTCTGCTGGCACCAATGACTGTCATTGGTTGGCACAAACACGGCAGATCTAAGTAGAGTCAGGCAGAGCATGAACGAGTAATCCAGGACTTGCTTTGACAATAAAATATGATTATTTTTAAACTGAATTGGAAGGACTCATAAATCACATAACAGATATTATGGAAATTTGTTTATATTTCATGTATCGTATTTCATGTCACCCATCAGCCCGTCTAGCACCAATAACCACGCCATGTTCAAAGTCACTTGAATCACCTTTCTTCCCAATTCTGATCCTCCGTGTGAACTTCAGCAGGTTGTCTTGACCGTATCTACCTGCCATGTGATGTGTATCATATTTAACACATGGGTTTTTGTGTTATTTATGAGCTGTTGAAAAGGTGTACCAAAAAAGCATCCAGTGAGTGTATAACTGCATATAAAGTCAAAGTATTGCAAACTGATGCTTCGGTAAGATTAATATAATATCACATTTGTTTAATAATAATTACATTTATTCAGGTAGACGTTTAAATACTGTCACTGGATTTCTGGTGTATAATTGTAAAATTGGCCTGTCATTGGTTGTTGCATGCTAACTTTTAAGAAATAATCAATTCTACCTTTCTGCTTCTAAATAAGAAAAATCTTATAACTTTGTTATATACTTAAGGACTATGCCTTTACTTTTGCCAACACAATGGCAACTCTGGCTATATCAAATAACCTAATGTATGTCATAGCGAGCCTATTTCTTTAGAAGATCTACAAAGTCTGTGGTGCACTTTACCTGGAGCGTACATACTGATGAGCACATTGTCTACAACACTGGTTATTGCACTGAACTGTGTAACATCTTTCTACAAAAGCACATAAGATACAAACCCACATTTAAATGCACACAAAAAGGATGGAGACCGGTGAAATTGTATATTTTTATTGTTTAATTCTTTATCGTTTAAGTCGCATACAGTATAGTCTGTCATTGGTTTCTATGCTGCTAAAGTTTGTGGACGGAACATCTGTGTTTTGTCAACTCTCTGATTGATTTATTGGTTAATGAGTGAGCTGGTTGAACAAGACCTGTGATGGATCTCCTCTGACCCATGCAATGCTCTGTGAACCTTGGAACGGCTGTTTTAAAAATACACAACCATTATGGTCGTATACTGAGTAATAATGCATAAAAGGGTATGTTGGACACATCAGGAGATCTCACAGTTCATATGTAGCTACTGTGCATTAATGACCAAAGTGGATATATGAATAAAATCAGAATATATGTTAAATCAATTGTGGACCGTAACATTTCCAAGTGTAGTAAATGCCAATCACATTTACCAGCCCTGCTCTTCCAGCTCATCCAGCAGTATCATCCAAAGCGTATGCTGTAAACGATAGATGAAGTGTGAAGAATACCACAGTTTTTAAATCACACTGTTTGTTAATTATGTTCAGGAAAAAGTCTCACAGACAGTTTTATGTATCTTAACTCCAGTCCGAGATATCCTTACCGTGTGCTAGTTATGCTGAATCTGCCTCTTAATCGATCCCACGTTGTTGTTTGTTTAGTTTTAAGAGGTGTGCTTCTCCTCATTAAAGTATATAAAAATAGGCATTTACTTTTTAAAAGGTAGATATGGTTATGGTTTTGTTGTTCAGCATTTGATGTTGCCCAGCTGGGATGGCAGCAAGCATAAAGAGCACAGGCAAAAGAAAAAAAAAGGACAGGAGGTGAGACACAGCGAGACTGGGGGTTAATTAGTAAATGTATGATCACTCAGTAAGTTTCTAAAGACTTTTGCAGGTCTAAGATGATGCTTCTTTGTGAGAAACAGAAATAGGGCTTCGATTTGAATCATTAACACTAGCCACAACTCGATAATTGACAATAATAAACCCATGCCCAACATTTAAAATGTTCTTCTTTTAATGAGCAACGTATCTTTATATCATATCTTAGTCAGCATTGAAGTGCATTGATTAAAAAGTAAGTGCAAGTACAGGTTCTGATGCATTCATTTTTACTAGAGGATTAAATTATTTGCAACGTGGCCCCAAAAAATAGTCATTCTACAGGGGCACTCTGCAAAGGAAAACCATTATAGTTGATGCTGTTTCTAACCTAAAAGATATATGCTGTTTTCCTCATTTCAAGCTTTTAAAGTTATCTCTGAGTGACAGTGTGTAGGAGCGATTTTCATCTGGCTTCTGCTGTCAGCTCACTCCAGTCCGTAAAACGCAGCACTTTTCCTCAATATCACTGCCATGCTCCCTGACTGATTTCTCAGTGGTTTCTCGGTTTCCTTTGAGGAACACAGAGACTGAATCAAGCCAGCAGAAGCACAAAGTCTGTGAGAAGCACTATTTTAGTGCAATAGTTTCACACTTGGTAACTCTGCTACCTAAAACTGGCTACCTCTGCATAGAGATGGAGAAGAGTTCTTATCACAGCCCCATCGATAGGCCTTTTAGTTGTTACTGAGGGAAGCGCCATTATTTTTATGTCACCAGAGCAAGGATAACAACATCTTTTGAGGTAATAAAAAATAAATAACAGCATGAAGTTATCCATTAAAATGTATTGTCCCCAGTATCTTGGATTCTGTCATCAGAATTTGGATAATACTTATTGAAACCATAAGGCTTTACGATAAATGCAACTTGGCCATATGATGGCAAAAGTCTCCAGTGGAGGCGTTCCCCCTGGACTCTAGCTGCTCTCGGAGGAGGTGGGCGGTGCCGTGGAGGACGACCTCCGCCGGGACACTGACTGTGAGCGCTCAGGGCTGTGTTTGTCATAAGGCTGGAGCTGCACCTCCAGGAAGTCCCTGTGCTGCTGGCTGATGACCTGGCTGATGAGTCCGGGCAAAGCTTGCAAGTTACTCAGTAGAGTCTCCAGCTTCGTCTCCAGCAGGGCAATCCTTTTCTCCATGTCCTCCCCTCTCTCATTCAGGTCTGATACCATGTCATACATGATGTTCTGAGTCTGGAATAGGAGAGATAAAACAAGCTTATTGTTAACATTTTCAAACCGATGTTACTTTTGATGGACCACCAGAAAATTTATTATACATTAAAAAAAATAGGGAAAATGCATTTTCATCACATCAAGATGCACTGATAGTTCTGAAAAGAGAAGAAAGAAAACTGGTTACAAGAGGCTACGAGTGCTAAAGATTCACTGTTCAAACACATCAAAGTCAAAGTAAAGAATGACTTTAAAATAATAAACTGATGTATATCTATTTGTACGCCTGTCTGAAAACAATACTCACATTCTGCCTGCAATTTCAATGTCAGAAATCGTGAATAAACATCAATGGCGCTATGCTGTGTAAAAGTGCAATAAAAGTTCAGCTAATATGATGCTTCCACAGTCTGAGTCAGATCTATAAAGCTCACAGTTTCAGATGTTACAGGCTTTTTTCACTGTATTGCACAATATTTGCTTGCTAAACCAAGATAGAAGGAAGAAAAAACTCACCATCACATTCAAAGTATTTTAGGATTTCATGTTTCTCTTAAATGACAACAAAAAATGTTCATGACTGAGTGCAGTAATGACTCGGATACACTCAACAGCCACTTTGTTAGGTACACCTGCTCCACTGCTTGTTAATGCAAACTTCTAATCAGCCAGACTGCTTTGAGTTGATAGGATGGCAACGGGAAGTCAAACAACTCCTCGTTACAGCTAAGGTATGCAGAAGAGCATCTCTGAATGAACAACATATTGATGAGCTACAGCAGAAGACCACACTGGGTGCCACTTATGTCAGCTAAGAACAGGAAACGGAGCTACAATTTACTTGTAATGGTGTGGAGGATATTTTCTTGATACACTTTGGCCACTTAGTACCAAATGAATATTTAAATGCCACAGCCTAACTGAATATTGCTGCGGATCTTGTCCATCTCTTTATGCCCTTTATGGCCACAGTGTGCCCATCTGCTAATGGCTGCTTTCAGCAGGATAGTGCACCACGTCATGCCCCTCAAATCATCAAAATTGTACTCAAATGCCCTCCACAGTCATCACAACCTAATCCAATAGAGCACCTTTGGGATGTAGTGGGATGTGAGATTTCCATTATGTGCAGCCAACACATTTGCAACTGTGTGATGCTGTCATGTCAATATGGATCAAAATCTCTCAGGAGAATGTTTCCAACTTCTTGCTGAATCTGTATCCCGAAGACTTAATGCAGTTATGAAGGCAAAAAAGGGTCCACCCTGGTATTAGCAAGGTGCATCTAATAAAGTGTCCAGTGAGTGTATACACCTTACGCCACACACGAGATCAGCCTGTACAGAACCTGCATAATATGACAGGATGGTGATTGCACCAATGTTTCAGTTTATGTGTCAGGCTGCACGCTGTCATAATACTGCACGGTTAGATGTTCCTGCGCAGGCTTCTTGAGCTGAATCAACAGTTCAGATTTTACAAACTGCTTTATGATACTGCCATTTTATCCATCTTGTCTGCAATGGCTTGTGTCTCACCCAGAGAAACCTTCACCATCCTTCAAAATAAGGTCAGAGGAACATTATGGGAGCACAGTATCTACCGTAAACTGATCTAGAAGGGTGAATTTTATTTGGACAGTTTACAGGAGCTTTATGTTTTCATGCAGACCAGAGTACATTAGTTTGTGACCTTGAGGAGACAGGAAAGGTGCCTGCTGACTTGACATGATGCTCTTCTGATGCATCAGCCATCTCATAACAGGCTATTAAAAAACAACAACAAGAAAAGAAAAACAAACAAACACACAAACAAACAAAAAAACCTCCATGAAAATTATATAACTACCGTATAACTACTCTTCTCTAAAACGGTTTGGGCTTCCAAAATAGTCAGCAACAGCCTAAGAAATTCATGTCACATTCCAGATGAGAAGTGGTGGTGAGGCTGCTGGAAGGCGGTCTCTGAGGTACTATTCAGTGCAGGACTAATAACCCCTGGCAGCTTAGAGGCGATGTCATCCATCACTTACCTTGTCCTCTTCTGATTTGAGGCGGGGATGATGGGATAGCTTGTTTATATGAATCAGTGAGGACTAAGGAAGCCATGACACTACTTAACCTGACAACTGTTGTTAGGGTTGTGCTATTAATATCAAATCAATCCAATAAAGGTCTTTTTCCTCTTAGTGTAATTAAGAAATGATTGCATCCAGGCACAGGCCTCCAAGTTTCAAACCGTGAAATGAAAGGAGAACATGCTCAAATAAGGTGGAATGGATGCTAGAGAGCAAGAAAACCATTAGTAGATCATTGAGGAATGTATGTGATGGAGCAAGAATACAGGTGGTTAATAGACATCCACTTGGGCTGTAATGTAAAACCGCAAATTGACATTATAAACCAATTTCTGTACAAGACGAGGGAAGAAGCGCGAGCAGAGTGGCAGAGATGGTTGTTAAAGCCACTTGAGTGAGCACTTTTGTAATTTAAGGATATGTACTGGAAAAAATGAAAAAGAAAAAAAAATCCTGTGGAAGGAAACTGCATTCAGCCAATGTCACATCGTTTATGTCACGCTGGATGAATAAACAGGGTCTGTATAAGTGACTCTGGAGGAGATAATGAAATAAGGGGATACGTTATGATCTGAGGAATTTCACTGTGCACTGCAGTGGCAATGCATCTTCCAAAAAGATATGTTCAGCTCTATTTAGCTCCGTCTTTCCATCGAGAGCGTGAAAAGACTGAAGCCACACTGCCCTCCTATGGTTGCAGACTCGTACAACACTGGCCATAAGCCACCTTACTCAATGTCACGTCGCAGGTTTCCGTGCTGTTTTACAGCATGAGGTGATTAGGCAATATTAACTAATACCTTTCATGACATGCTGGCCTGAATCCAGTTTGACTGTGGTGTACTTTTGAATGTCAGAGTGCTCTGCTTTTCTCTCCTCTTTTTCTCTGCCTTTATTTCTGGCTGAATCATCAGATCACAGTGTGTCTCCCTTTCCAGGTTACTGTTTCTGCTGTGTCAGGCTGGCGCACTGCCTGGTCTTTCCCTAAGGTTTGTCGACTTCTGTTTAGTGCATCTGGAGACAAACATCAGAGAATACATAGAGGGAAAAACTGTGCCGGGTTTCTCATTACTCCCATTCAGTAATTTTTTTGTCCCGGGGACAGTGATTTACACTGCAAAATAAAGATGCGTTATTATTTCATACCCCAAGCAAATTGAATTCCAGGTGAGCGCAGTCAACCGCAATCAACACACAGATTGTAAAGCCTGTCTGTTTATTTGACACCTGTAGACTTTGATTTATATTAGAAAACACAACTAATTCAGCCAGTCAGCTAGCATGCATCGGATTCAGCCACACAGAGGGAGGAAACCTACAAAGGCAGCAGTGTACTGTTAGTCTAGCTTACCTTAGCAAGGTCCACTAGTGAGTTTGCTTGGTCATTCAGCTTGCGTTGCTCCATTTTAACACTTCTCAATCTGAACACAAGACCATTCAGAACCCAATAAATTAACGCTATTAGTGTCGATATGTTTTTTCTTTTTCTTTTCTTTTTTGTTCTTGTTGTAAATTTGTGCACACACAAGGCATACACATGGAGAACACTCCCAGGACATGCATGGGATATGTGTAGAGAATGCAGGGTTTGGAGGGGCAGTCTGCTTGGTTGAGCTGCATGCAAGTGGAAAGGAGACCACAGAGAAAGAAAGGGTGGGGGGGAGGAGAGGGAGCTGCCACGGGGGGTGAATGAAATCAGTTCTGCGTCCTACTCAACCAATACACACCACAAGGGAATGGGGGTGGGGGGTCATATCTGGGTACAGTGTAAACAGCATTTATCAAGTCCTACTGTATGTCTTCTTGACATATGAGATTAGAAAACATCAACAGCAAGGGTAAAAAGGTCAGCTGTTGTTCCTGTAAAGTTCCCTTCTGGTTAACTTTTTTCTCTTTACTATTCCCATTTAGTCACTCAGAGAGCCAAAAACATCACACACTGTTTTGTATTAACACAGAGGGTAAAGTTTAACCTTTAAACAGCAGCTATGAGCCTGCTTCCCTTTTGAGACTTTCCAATATTCCCATTAGAACAGAGAAAATCGTGTCATCGTGACAACTTTTTTTTTCTTTCTTATTTTTTCTTCTCTCTCTTTTTTTTTTAAAGTGACAACTTAAAGAATCGTTTTAATTGTTAATTGCTGGCAGGAAATGAAAAGTTTTTTCCAGAAACTCTCTTGTGGGCTAAAAAACCATGCAAAACGCTAATTTTTCTATCACCCAAAAATCCTACCTGCAAAGACTGAAAATTGCCTACTTTATAAAATGTGCTTAAATAATTTACAGCTCCTGTTTAATTATGCTACTGAAGCACCATTTTAAACTCTTCTTCTCAGGGGACTTAAAAACAGCAAAATGTGCACTATTGTAGAGTATTAGCCACGTGGCATCAACATATTAAAGAGGGTTTTTTTCCTTACTCCTGAATCGCTTAAAAATAATAATACACCATTAATATAGTCTGACTCTTAGGTGATGATTGAGGGTCAAATTTTAAGATTGCTGAAGACGAAGAAATTCAAGAGTCTTCGAGGGAGACTGATATTTCATCGAGAAACTCCCAAATGTGCAGCGAAGACCAACAGAGAGTGCCACACAAGCCACTAAAGAAAACTTCAAGCATAGGGCAAAAATGTCCTGCCACCTTAGCCCCATTATGCTTCATACAAAGAAGACTCTCAGACAAATGCAGAACAAATTTCAAAACATCACTCTTATATTCTTCTAGCTATAATGAAACAAATAAAGAAAAGAGCAGTAGTCTGCTCTAAATTACAGAAGATAATAGGTGTTCGGGGTTACATGGTTTTGTAGTTGACATGAGACCTGTTAGAAATATACATTTCACAATTGGAAGACCAATAGCTGTCAGAGGGCAGGTTGAGGTGAGGGCGAGAAAGCCTGCTGACCTTCTATTTTATATTCAAAGTATGTTTTCCACAATCAGTCACTGCTCATGGGCACTTCCCTTTGTGAACTGGCACTTTATATGCGGTTGGTGTTCATCGGGGGAAAACGGCTATGCTAAGCGTTTCAATCTCAGTTAGTGCCGCTCCACATTTTTTACCCTCCTCAAGTTGCTTTATTTGTCATGACCTCCATTAAACTCATGGTGAAAAGAAATGCAAATTATTCTTCAAAGTAATGGATGGGTCTGACGTCTTCTTTTTTTACCCCCCGTCGCCCTTGTCCCTGCTGACCATTCACACTGTTGGTCACAGTTGCAGCCTCTCGAGCACAAACGGGATTTCTTCAAGGCTTTACCCTGACCTTCCTCTTAGGTCACTTCCCTCTTTGTTCAATTCGCTGATCTCTGAGCTAACAAGCGCTCACTGTCCTGCTTTTTTTTTTTTTGTCCCCACTATGGTTCCTCCTTCAGCCTTGCGCATGGAAAAAGACTTCCTCCCCAAAGGGAGACATTTGATTTCACAGCCGTTATGGCCTAAAACATTCTGCAGGACATTTGGCTAGCACTTGTGTCATACCGTGCCTCTAGCACGAGTCATCCAAATGACCTCAGTGTTGTTGTGTCTCCAAACTCTTCTTGCATGGCAGCTGCATGTCGTTGCTATTATGCTGTTTACCAGCCACGACAACAACAATGGACTGGCATCTCTGCTACTGTGTCATCCAACAGGGAAATGGAGGAAATGTAGCTGCAAATGTCGTAACAGGCGTAACAATGGTTCCACTTGCCGAAAGATGACCCTGAGCCCTGATCTGTGCGAGCGTGGCCGCTTGGGCGTATCGCATGACTTTTTGGGGTATCACAGAACGTACACGTCTGCAGGCTAATGCCACTCTGGTCGTCATCCTTCGGTAGGTGAAAGCACAGTCGATTGGAGTTTAATCAGTTGCTTTCTGATTAAAGATCAAAAGTCTCATCACATCCATGCAGAAATGGAAAGAAAAACACCCTCCATCATTGATAATTGAAATTCACTTAAACTGCATCTGTGGGTGTGTATACAATGTGCAGCGCATGTCTGTTCACTAACAAGGTGCCTGTACCGGTGATTTAAATCAGACAAAGAAAAATGTGATGCTGTGTGTTTCGTCAAACTGACATGCCAACTAAGAAAAACACTTTTAGCAGGTGTGACTGGGTTGTGTGAAGCAAAGATTTTTGAGGGATGAATTTCACTTATCAAATGAGGGAGTGTAATTTTTTTTTTTTTTGGTAGTTATTGGGTTCAAGGACAAGCTCTCGTTAGCATGCACACAACAGGTCTGTATCTACATGAGAGGCGAAGACTTACTTTCGAGCTCTATTGCATTGTGTCGACACAAACAGGAAAAACAAAAACAAAACAGGAACAAAAAGGAAACATGAAGTAGACAAATGAATTATTACAATATCAGATAAACATAGTCAGATGGCAAACTGTGTTTGCTCACGTCTGGCTGCTGAAACCCTCATCGCTACACTGTCACCTGTGAAGAGCAGCCACCGCTTCTCCTGACTTCCCTCATCTTGAAACCAGTTTGTCATTTCACCCTGCGTGGACCGTTTCTGGTGGCTGCAGCTGTTTTTGTTCTCTGAATCTAATTTAGCCTTTTCTGGTCCTATCAGAAAGACAGTGAATAAAAGAAAAAACCAGAAGTGTCTGTTTAACAACAGCTTTTACCCCCCTCAACTAATAAGGATGTGTGAGCAAAGTTTTCTCACTGTCTTACAACTTTGACCAGTAGAGGAAGTTAAAGATTGCTGTAGGCCTATTAAAAGCCTCCACTTGTTAATCCACTTCCTATTCTATATTAATTGCACGCCAGAGTTTGTCTGTCACACCCTGCGATTAGGCTACAGGCCCTACTTAAAACTCTCCCACACGAACCCCGTGAACACTCTGCCTCATAACCAAGACCGAATCTCTCTAACACAAAGAATGTGACCAGGAGATGTTGATACCACGCTGAGTGGTCGTTCCAAGCACACAGAGCAACGTGACTTTTCCCAACTGAATCTGGTTCTTTATAGATTGCACTTTAGCTCTGAGCCATTTCCATTATTAGGCTGTCCAAGAGAACAGGAGGTGGACATGAGAAGCTGTCATCAATGCCGCGAATCACCTGAACCCAACAGCAAGGGCATAATGACTTGAAAAGCAGCAACAATGAGAGAAAGCTATTAAACTGCAAGTCTGGATGCGGGTTGCAGCAGCAGCAGACAGTTTGTGTATATTTGTGTTTCCCTACCTTCCCAATATACATCCGAATGCCGTTAAAACTTAAATGTGTGTCCAAAAGATTCATGAGCAAAGCAAAGTTGCACACAGTACACCATATATATATATGTGTGTGTGAATAAAACCACAGAAAGCAAAACAAACATACAAACAGAGGACATTTTTACTTGAGTATGAACAATATACCAGCGTATTTGCTATTATTTATTCTAATAAAGCGCCGAGGTGATTGCCAGTTAATGAAAGAAGCCTCAGTGTGGCTGTGCTGGTAAGCACTGTAAGCTGAAGGAAAACAACAGTGAGGTGAGGTTAAAATCAATACTGTTTTGGAGTGAGATAGCACTTTGGGGGTCCTTGGGGACCCACTAAAACACTAGCTGACAGGTGAATGTCTGAGCAAGCGCTAGAGGAGTAGAAACCGAAATGTGTCAGCCCTGAGGTCAGCCTGACATCTGACTCACAGCGAAGAAGACACACAAGAGTCAACCTGACAGCAAAAGGTGGAGAAATCGATATCATACTCCTGTGAATTCTGTAAAACCTGCATATTTTGAGGTAAAATGAACTTTACACAGAGTTTCTTTTTCATGATGCTAGTTTATGCCTTTTAAAAAACGGGTAAATGCTTTACAGGAATCTCCAATGAGTCATTGTGTATATATACATATATAACATTCAAACATCAGCAGAGGAAGTTGTGAAATCAGTCAAGTCAAAGCATGGTTATAAAAATACAAGATCCTCCAAATCTATGAGCACAAAGCTTTGCTACAGGTGTCAAACAATTCAGATTTCAGGTTTGTGTTGCTCTGGTGAATGAAATTGCTGAAGAAAAGTGGCGAGGTCAGGGTTAAGAGCACGGCACCTACTGGTGAATGGCTTGGAGAAATTTTCTCTGGTGCTTCCTGACTCTGGCGTGGTCCATCTTCCTCACCAGTTTAGTGTTCTTGTAGATGAGCCACGTCTCCCTGAGAACGTTCGCAGCTGTGTTTTTCACCTTAGGGTGCAAAAACAAAATTGCTTAAGACTGTAATGAAATAAAGCATCTATGACACCTTGCAGCGCTTTCACTTACTCTTTTTGTTAGCTGGGTGTCCATCATAAAATTGTGAACATGTTTTTCAGCTTTGGTTAATTCCAGTTTCTTTGCCACCACAGCCACCACCAAGGCAGTGCAGCCAGCGCCCTGGGAGCCAGAGAAAATATACAGCGTTCCTTTACTTGTCAATATTTGTCAGTCACGATAAATTAGCAGCAGATCGGCTGCTTTTACATAATTAATAAGAGTCTTTCAATAGTTTCACAAGCTGATAAAAAAACAAAACAAGCATCATAATCTCACCATAATGCCAGTCAGGAGGCAGACTCCTTTCCCACAGTACGTATGTGGGACCATATCCCCATAACCAATGGTAAGAAACGTGATTGAGATCAACCACATGGCTCCAAGAAAGTTGCTGGTTATGTCCTGGTTATCATGGTACCTGTAATGAATAATAAATGTATCAGACTGACACACCTTCATGCACCTGAACAAACTGATGCTCACGACTGCTACTTGTTTCTTTTTAAAGAAAAGAGGTTTTAGCGACTGTGATGCCTAAAATCCAACGTTTCAGGACTCTGCAGTTTCATAATCTTTTCTTACAGCTTGTGTTAATCCTTCTATCTTGATGCTCAGACAGAGAGTGAGTATTCTATCTATTTTTAAGCCTTATCTATGTTTCATGCTGAGCAGCGCGGCATAGCATGAGAAAACTGATCCAGGCACCTCTCGCAGGCTCTCACTGTCCATGCAGCGATTATCCATAGCGAGATGGTGAAGACCAGCAGCACAGTGCCGGGGCAGATGGTCATGAGAGTCTTCATCACAAATCGCGTGTTAAAGTTAATCTTGTTGAGTGCACCGATGCTGCGGGACGAGGCATCGGTGAAGAGCTTGCTGTGCAGCAGCATGACGCGAGCGATGAGGTACAGGCGCAGGAACATGGGGATGGACAGGATGATGTCCACATCTGCATCCGTCTTGGATGCCACGTAGGAGTAGGCCAAGCGTGCCGTCCAGGTGAAGGTGTAGTTGCCTGGGATGGGGTGTATGGCGCACACCAGGATCTCCAGGCAGATGAAGAAGATGCGCTCGTATGTCATGGCTATCCTCCAGTCATCAGCTGCATTGTCCACCATAAATAGCTGCAAGGAGAGGGCACCATGAGAGTGATGAAGGGTAGAAAAAGCAATCAAACAAATGGAAACAGCTGAAATTTTCATCATGTTGACACAGCACACTACAGGAAATCATTAAGCCCATTAAAGAGTAAACAGCAAATCGCCTCAAGCCATTAAATTACATTTTTTAAAAAAAAGAAACTGTGCTCAGAACAACATTTGAAGGAAGTGTAGCCAAAGAAAACGGAAAAGATTTCATGACAAGGGGAGGATGTTACAAGCTTTCAGATATTTACAGATATATACAACATCTAATGACCTCAGCATGGCTTTAATGTCATATCTGTGTTTGTGAGCGCACCACACCAGGTGTGTAAGTTTTAATGCCTTAAGGAACGTTTGTTGCTATTTTTCCCATTTCCTTTAATGCCAAAGGTCTTTGTAACAAAATAAGACTGGTGCCGGGTCATGTTTACCACTGTGTTGCATCACGCCCCCCCCCCCCCCTTTTAACAACAATCTTAAAGCATTTGAGAACTAAAGCTTTGAAAGTCAAACGTTTCCCCATTTTTGCTTGATGTGGGATCGCAGCTGCTCTGCTGTTTGACTTCAACACAGACTCACTGTTGCGATGTGTGTAAAACACTGGAAACCTCTGAGAAAGACTTCTGGATGGCAATATGTTCCTCTAAAACCTGCGTATGCCATTCAGCATTAAAGACGCTTTTGAAAATGTGGAAACCTTTGGTTGTTCTGACCACAGCAGAGTTAGTTTCCACCCCAGTCCATCTTAAATGAGCTTGGGTTCAGAGAGGATTTGTGTGTTTATTTTCTTTGATCTGAAAGCATCTGAAAATGGGACTACTTATAAAAACGACTGCAATTCTTAAACAGTTAATGCAATACCTTTGTTACAGCCATTGATTTAAATCTGAAAGTCTGCACTTCACCCACATCTCAATTGCTTGATTTAAAATCCACTGTGGCACTGGACAACTTAAGTGTTGGTACAGTAAACGGTTATTTCAGCATCAAATTTAAAAAACAAAATAGTCCAAAGACTTCAGATGTTCACTTATGATTGTAAACCAGTTTTCTTTAAAGTTTTACCTTTTCAACAAAACCGAGACATTTAAAGATTGTCAGGGCAGTATGGACTTTTTAAAGCTACTTTGACGTGAAAACTAAATAATGTAAAAAGAAAAAGAAAGCCAGGAAACGGCAGACTCATCAATGCTGTATAAAACAGCTTCTGCATACAATAAATTATTGAAATTTCTGGAATAAATGACAATCCTTAGTGTAAAGCATCTTAGTGCCTGTAGAATAAATTGTTCTGAAGATGACTGAAAATTTTGACTTCTTCATTAAAATGCATTAAAATAAAATATTATTACATCAGGCAATACATTAGCGGTGTGCAGTAAGCATTTTCAACTTCTAAGCAGTATACTAATGAGAACATCTGCCACCTCCACATTAGCATTAGGTGCTGATCGCCTGGCCACCCTGACCAGAAGGCTGGCTGTCTCACTGGGGACTTCAGTGTGAGTGGATTTCAACACCTCCCATCGCTCTTCTCCACCCCGTCCTCTGTCATATATACGCAGGAGCTTTCTCACATGGTCATTCCTGCTGATGTCCCTTCACTCCTCTTTATCACTTTCTACAGCTATCTTCAACTCGTGTCCTCACACAACTACCAATATCAGCTCCTTCACGGTCTCCACTTCTCACGCTAAAGGTTGTAAACAGGCGATCTCAATTTTATACCTGTTGCTTTGTATTGTGAGGCTTGTAGATAAAAAGCGCTCCAAACTGTATTCCTCTCTCTGACACCTCGCACTGGTATCCCTTCTCTAATGCGCCCGCTCTATCCACTCAATCACATCAAGGTCCTGCGCCTGTACAAGCTGTCACAAGTGGCAGTAGATTTTTCACAAAACGTTGTTGTCAGCAAATCCAATCGAGGTTTCCTGGCAGCTTTTTTTTGCCATGAGAGCAGACGCCTTTATGAAGGGGAAAAAAAGAAAAGAAAAACTGCACTATTACGTGTCGTCCGAAACCTCCCTAATGTACTCGGTAATAAATTATGGGGTGTCCACTGACTTCTCAGGCTTAACTATGATATACAGTACAATGATTTTGCTTACAGCCCTCTGAAACAACATCCTGCACAGTTCTGTTCATCTTTCAGCTCAGAAATGTACAAGAATTATTAAAGTAAGAGGAACATCTTCACAATTTGTCCTATTAATGTGTTATATAAACAAATTGATAAACATTAATAACCCAGATATAATGGAAGGATTAGTTTCAGGTTATGTCGTAAGTCACAGAAAATGTATAGTTAAAAAAAAGTCATGATGCTCGCTGCAGAGTTTTTGTGCTGATCTTAATGCGAGAGAACAGCTGAAACACTGCAGTTACTGAGTCGGCAGAGCGTTAGCAAGTTTTTCTCTCTGTGCCATTCAGAGGCACTCGGTGATGCCGCTCTGTAACTTTATGTGGTCTGCAACTATGTCGTTGAGTTTCTATTGTTCATAAATGCACATTTTGCAGGGGCAACATCTCACAAGCAGTCAGGTCATCTTAAACGTGTCAGTGATATAACTCGAGAGGTGGAGCCATCAAAAAACCCTTTTGAGTTCTCGCTTGGCTTGGCTCCCAGTTAAATCTGGAATTGAATTTAAAGTCCTTCTCTTCCCATACATGGTCTTGAATAATCAGGCCCCATTTTATCTTAAACACCTCATATTAAACTGTTAGCAGTCGGACGTACCGCCCACGGGACATTGGATGGTTTAGGGGACTAATAGGACTGCTAAGGGGTTAATGTATCATCCCAATAAAGCTCCTTACTCTCAGACCACTGGCTCATTTACAGGATAAAAGTAGAACGGGAGGCAGAGCTTTCAGCTTTGAGGGCCCGGTTCTGTGGAACCAGCTCCCAGTTTGGATTCAGGAGACAGAAACCCTCTCTTATTCTAAGATTAGCCTTAGAACTTTAATTACTGATGAAGCGTATAGTTAGGGATGAATCAGGTGACCCTGAGTGATACCTTAGTTATGCTACAATAGGTCTGGGCTGCTGGTGGATTCCCATGATGCATTAAGTGTATCTTCATCACTCACCTCTTTTAACGTGCTGTTAATGTGTTTATACATCACTCTGCATTTAATCATTAGTTATTATTGATGCCTGGCTCCACAGCATGTCTTTTGTCCTGTCCCCATCCCCCGAACTGGTCACGCCAGATGGCCGCCCCTCCCTGAGCCTGATTCTGCTGGAAGTTTCTTGCTGTAAAAAGGAAGTTTTTCCTTCCCACTGTTGCCAAGTGCTTGCTCATAGGGGGGTTCTCTGTATTATTGTAGGGTCTTTACCTATAAAGTGCCTTGAGGTGACCGTTGTTGTGATTTGGCAACATATAAATAAAACTGAATCGAACTGAATAGGAGTAAAAAGATTTTAAAGAAAATTAGATGACCATTTTTAGAATAATTCATCATTTGCGGCACATAATATTAGTAAACATTGTATCTGAAGAAATCCCTACACACAAAGGACAACACTGAAAAACAAAACTGACTGGCAAAGAAAAAAACAGGTTACAGAAATGCTGCTGCATCCTCTGCTCGTGTAAGATGGACTGAGGTGAAGTGGAAAGCTGTCTGTGTTCTTATGTATCAAATTTTAAATTCATGCTTGAATTCACGCGCGCTGCTCTAACCAGGCTAAAGAGGAGAGGGACCGTTCGACTTGTTGTCTTGCTGTCAGGAAAGGCCTTATTTATTTGTGTAAGACAATGCCAGAGCCCATTCTGCGCAGAGTACACAGCACGGCTCTGTTGCAAGAGAGTCAGGGTGAAAAACTGGCCTGTCTGCAGATCAGACCTGTCGCCTATTGAAAACATTGGATTAATAGGCAAAAAAAAAGACAACAAGAAGCAGCAAGAAGCATTTGATTTACAAAACTGCAGCAGCTGGTCTCCTCGATCCCCAAACATTTAAAGAGTGTGTTGTTAGAAACAGAGGAAAACCTGATCCTAACCTTTTTAAAATGTGTGGCTAGCATTAAAAATGTGGGTGTATTTTTCAAAAACAATTATATGCCTCTCTTTCAGCATCTATTACCTTGCCCTCGCACTTTTAATCATTTATATAGGGCTTATATGATTTGCAAATCAGTCTGTCTTAAACTTTATGACAAATCATATGGTCATAATTTTCCGGACACTCTGGAGGCATACATCATGACTCGGCAGTTTGCCAGCTACTCTCCATTTAATTTGGAATTTCTCATTATAGAAGCAAAAAGAAAACTGTCCCACTCCTGAAAGGCTAATGGGATCACTGACCTAGATTGTAATTTTAGCTGTGACATGTTACCTAAAATGGAATCGCTGAAATAGTCATGTTTCTCACATCTTAAATAAAGCTCCCCATTCAAAGCGTTCATCTCAAGGACAAAGCCAGCGCGCAGAAATCAATAAGACTGCGCTACAGACGTGTACGAGTGCTCCACATGCTACAGTTCGACAGCTTCAAAGGGACTCCGAGACTACAGCTTCAGCTGCTTTAATGCAGAAACGGCACACTGCACGCTTATTATAGCTTCTGAGCCAAGAAATGTGCAGGAAATATCAGCTGTCAACAAGCCGGCACAGTACAACACCAACCAACAACAACAGCAACAAGTCCCTGAATAAATGGTACAACAACCCCACGTAGCCTCTGCAGCTCATTTGTATTTATTCAGAAGCTACAATCAAAGTCCCCCGCCCTCCCCCAAACACAGAAAACACGTGAATTAAATTTTCAGCTGTGGTTGTTCCTATCAAATGAGTGACACTGAGCTCCTTTAACAAACTGACATCTGACAAAGAAGTGTGTAACTCTAACCACAGCTTGTCCTGTTCAGCTTTCCAGCTGAGTGTAATGTAGACATGGAAACACAAGCTGTGTCTCCACTCACACTGTGGTCTCTTACTTACAGAATTAGCTCTCTGAAAGAGGCTAAATCT